TGCTTTGACACTCCTCGGGGGTCCGGGGGGCTTTGGTCTGCTGGCAGGGAGCCGTGGAGGTGAGGTGTCTGTGCAGCTCCGTGCAGCTCCGGCTCTGCGCCTGCTGGAAGTTTGCCTTCCTGTCCCGGGGACCCTCCACCTTCAGAGAGCAGAGAGGAGAAACTCAGCCCCGACCATCACCGTGAGCCACCTGGCACGTGGGCAATTAGTAGGCAGGGGGGAAAACACTACCAGGGCCCAGCACCCTCTAACCACCACCGCCTGCTCCTCAGGCTGCCGTGCTCACGCTAACAGCAGCTGGAGCGCCCGAACGCAACGAGAGCCCATGCTGATCTCAGAGGCAGAAAAGAGGCTTCTCCTCGCTACAAGGCCTGCAGCCCCCAGGGAGCAAGCCATTTCTCTGAGCCCTTCATCTGAGATTGCATCCATTTGGGGTTGGGCCACGACTTGCCAGGAGCCCAGCTGGCTGGATGCGCTGAGGCTTTCCTGGACTTCTCTTAAAAACATGGCAAATAAGCCACCATACGATAAACAGCTGACCTGAGCTGCACTGGCTCCTGGGTCGGACATCCCTGCCCTTCGCTAGCTAATTCTCCGTGATGACCTAGTGATGGCTTGTCCTGCCCAAAGTGGTTCATGGAGCAGGCTCCCTCTCCCTGGCGTTGCGGTGAAGCATTGCAGCCCCTCTAGAGGTGACGTGTTGCCCATCGCGGACCTCGTCCTCTCGCCCCCAGCCTGCTCCCAGGTTCCCAGGATCCCCCAGCCTCCGAGGCAGTGCTGCCTGCTGCGCGTCCGAGGAAGGGTTTCCTTCAGAGACACCAGCCTGGCGGCACGGACCACACTGAGTCCTTCCCCATTAGCAGCAGACACGCAATGATGATCCTTTTCAGCAGGAGGGTTTTTCTGCTGTTCCTAGGCAATCTAATTTGCTGGGCCTAATGCACTGCACAATTACCATTATCCAAGTAGAAAAATCTTTGATGGCAACTTCTGCTGGATTTCAGGAGATTAGCTTAAGTGACCGGGTTGGGCTCTGCAGTGCTGCATGCAGCTCTCCTTGGGCTAAGCCCAGCTGATCGATAGCATGTTTGATTGTAAGTCCCTTGGGGAGGAGGGAATGAGGGGCTGTGAGGGAACGTGAGGGATTTTCATAAAGCAGGGCTCAGTGAAACTGGGAGACTCCTGGCCAGCACCGGCTCAGAATGAAATCAAAACCTTTCTCAAAAGAGAACAAAGCCTGAAGGTTTTGCTGAACCTGAGCTGGAGGTAAAGAGGAAGAACTGCAACCCCAGCTAAGCCCAAAGCAGAAATAAACAGAAAAAAAGCACTGGGCTGACTGCCTGTGACAGACCGACGTGAGACACTCTTCCCCCTCCTGCTCCCAACACCCTTTTTTCCCTGTGATCACCATGGGACTTGGCCTTGTCTCTTTTCCCACCAGATGCACCCGGTGGCCCATGGGCGCTGCTCAGAGGCCGTTCATGCTCCCCGGACACCGTATCTGGCGATGCCCTTTAAGAGGATGGTTTCCGAGAGCTGGGCATTGAGAGGATCTCGAGCGTTCCCTGTAGGGCAGGTCCAGGCTCGCCGGCATGAGGAAATACCTTTGTGCAGGGCCGTGTGGGTCTGGCCTTAGGGGTCCCCGGGCGCCGGGCACTCCCATCTCTCTGAGCCTCGCAGCTCGGAGGCACGTGCGATGGCGAGAGAAGCAACTTCTTCAGCTGCAAAAAGAAGTGGCGAGAACAAGAATCGGACTTGCAGCGAGAGCAAGGCTCACGAGCAGACCCGAACGGCAGGGCGGTGGCTCGGCTCCCGACTGCCACAGCCTGAACGGTCCCAGGCTCCAGGGGTCACACCGCCACTGGCCATCTCCCCTGCTTAGCCTTGGACTTAAAAAGGGGAAAGGAAAAATCAGAGGCAGGGAGGAACGTTTCCCACCCCGCTGGGTGACCTGTGGCCGCAGAGAGCGTCACAGCCTGTGGGAGCGGGCAGGTATACGCAGCGCTCAGCAGTCCACGTGCTCAGAGCAGCTGCTGCCACGCTCACCCGCATTTCCAACCAGCCCCCACACCAGGCAGGCCAGGGGGGTGAGAAAATGAGGCACAGGCAGGGGAATTTACTTCCCAGAGCCATCCCCACTCTGATGAGACGCTCTATGTCTTGGCTTCCAAACTTCTCACTCCATCAATTCTGTCCTTAGGTGACAGAGACGTTACGTTTGCATGAGTGACTGATTTGGACAGCTCACTTGGGTCCCCTTGCAAGGCTCATTTAGCTGTAACATGCAAAGAGGGCCTCGATTCATTAATCAGCTTGCAAAGCATTCTGCAGAGGTAAGCCCCTACGGGAAACGCCAAGGATTTATTGAGGATCTTCCCCAACATGATCCTTTCAAGAATTCCACTGTGATCCCATCAGGAGGGTCGGAGTGGGAATTTTCCTTAGGTTATGCACAGCACAGTTATTTCTTACCGCAAGGCTAGCATAACTTTCTTCTACTCAAAAACTTCTTTTGTTTAAAAAGCACACCCAGCAACAACAGCATTTCTTATTCCACCCATGTTGCACCAGCAACTGAAGGTGACAACAGATCAATAGCAAGACGACTGCGTAGGCTCCGTGGGACTGCACGGAGAAGACTGATCTAGGGCTTGGTCTCCCAAGCTGGCCTGCAGACTTGGAGAACCCCTTTGTCAGGTGCTGTGATTTTTAAAGAGCGATAGAAATGGGAGGTTCCCAGGTCAGGGACTGCCAGGAAATTTCAAGGGGGGGCCTGCCGCTTTAGGCGTGCAGCTCCTGTTGGTGTAAGCAACCAGCACCTTTCCCCCTCTCCCCCTGTAACGTATACATCCTATATATACACATACATATTGCGTGTGATATATACACCCACCTGCGTGCAGGGCCGTGGGAGGTGGAAATGCACGCTCTCACCACTGGATGTCACTGCTCCCCGCCAGAAACCAGGGCTTTTGGGGAGACCCGGGGGCAAGACTAGGGGGTCCCTGGTGGGGGGACCATGAGCCACAGGTGCCACTAGGCTGCAGCCCACCCACAGGGTGCCCGTGTCCCAGGGGACCTCCTGGGAGGGCAGCCATTTGCGGCAAACGCCGCTAGTTAGTCTGGGCTAGGACGGGGAGCGGGGCTGGAGACCTGTTATTGCAGGGTCCCAAGACAGATGTTCAGACCAAGTCCCCTCTGTCCCTCCAGTGAGCGCAGAGGGGAACTGGCCTCTACGGGCCCCCAAGGCAGAGCTGGGGCAGGAGCGACCCCCCTCCCCAGGGCTGCAGGGACAGGGTTGTTTCTGCCCTGCTGCTCATGGGAATGGGGCTGAGATGTGCTAGAGAGGACCCCAAACAACCCCACATCTGGGCTTCAGGTTAAAAAAAGGCATGGGCCATGCCAAAGCAGCCAACACCCATTTGGCACCCTCTGCAGTAACCCAGAGCCCAGCCCCCACTCCCTTAATATACATATATTTGTATATACACAGCAGCAATCAGCTTGTCCCCATGAGGATGGTGATGGAGGTGACAGCAATGATGCAGAACATGTATACGTATACAATACAAGTATATGCTTTGGTATTGACGGTTAAAGAGAGTTTTAAGCCTAGAATGAAAAAATTCAGACCTTTGCTTCCTATCATACCCATGCAGCCGGCTTATCAGGGGCTCATCCAAATCCACCTTAAACAGTAGGAAGTGGGTTCTTACTAGAGACAGCTCATCAAACTCGGGGGCCTGGGGTGGCCCCCCCGTGACCGGGGCGGCAGGTTTGGGGGAGGGGGCAGGCGAGGTGTAGGCATGGTTGAGCGTGTCCCCCTCTTCCATAGTGTGGAAGGCAGCCAGGCCCATGTCATCTCCCTGTATATCATCCAATGTCTCGGTGAGGGCTGCCAGCAGCGCTTCATTCTCGCTGTCTATTATCTGAAAGGAGCAGGCAGAGAACAAGAGAGAGGGAATTAGGCTGAGCAGAGGGAGCCAGGAGACTTTTCTTTCAGGAGGGACTTTGGGAAGAGGGGCAGGCGGCACACAGCGGCGGTGGCTGAGCCTGGTGGTACTCAGCACTGTGGGGCTGAGGAGCACACAAGTGGCCGTGCCACCAGCACCCACGCCTTCTTGTGATCCTGCAGGGGAGCTCGGGGGGATCTTCCCAAATGAAGCAATAAGACAGGGCTAGAGGGAGAAAGACCCAACTGGAAAAGGGCTGGAACACCCATCCGTCCCATCCGCCCTCACAGCAGCCCCAGTGGGGCTCAGAGCATCTTCCTCTCCACCTCATCACGAGGCGATCACTAGCATGTATGTGACCTTCAGGAGAGCTGCCGTTGAAAGTCTCCTTGCCGTAATCCTCCTGCCTTTGGGCTGTGAGCCCACAAGGTCCTGGTTGTCCCCTCACTGCTGAGCTGGGCTCTGCGGCTGCTCCCTCAGCACAGCCTGAGAAAGCAGCATCCACCAGGACAGGACTGCGAGGACGGGCCAGGCACAGCTCCCCGGCCCTCCATGGCGGGCCGTGGGGCTGGAGGAGACCTGAGGGGCCACCATCACTCCTGCGCAGCTCTCCAGAAGGATAAGGCAAAGGCAGGGAAGAAAATGTCGAGGGCTGTAAGCCCAGCTCAAGGTTGCCCAGTGGAAAGGAGGGCACGACTCCACTTCCAGAGGGCAAGGACTTGCAGGCTGGCAGCCTCCCACAGGCATCAGGAAACCAGACACGTGTTACTTCACTGGAAAGTTACCACAACTTGCAAGAAGCAACACGCTTTTTGTTTTCACAGATTTTGTTTTCAAGGATTTTAAAGTCTCCAAATGCAGGAATCTCGAGTTTGCCTGGGAGTCTCAGCCCTCAGGTTTTACAGACGGCTACTCCTAGCCTCTGCCTGCAGAGACGAGCGCGAGTGGATCCTAAAGGCTCCGAGCAAGGCCAGCAGAATTAAATGTCTTACATTATAGCTCTTTTGATTTATTTTTTTAAGCGCACGGCATGATCTGGGGATGCTGACAGGCGATTTGTGAGCGTCTGGGGCTGGGGCCACGCTGCCACGTTGCAGCGCTTTGACGTGAGGCCAGTGCGTGGCGATGGGGCTTGAAAGGGACCCACTGCCTCGTGACCACCCTGTGCTCCCTGAGGAGGCCCCACAGGGCCACGGGTCCCCCGGTCAGGTCTCTGCCCATCGCTTTCTCAGCCTGCTGCTCCCAGCCCAGTTTCGGCAGCAGCTCTGCTGATGCACCTCAGCCGCAGCCCCCAGCCCTCCCAGCAGCATCCCAGACCTGCACAGCTCTGCAGTTCTTCCTGCAACCAGGAAATACAGTGCAAAGGCCCAAAACAATGTGCAGAAGCAGAGGAATGGCTGAAGTGAGCCAGGAGCTAGTTCTTTTTGGTCCCCCTCCATAACAGTCTTAATATAAACCATGTCCAATAAGAAGCAGGATACCAGCAGATATAAAATTAGCATGGGGGTAAATTCAGGCTCCCAGGGAGGACTGGTGAATGCAAACGGCCTCCCATATTTCTCTCATTTTGTTTGAAAATTAAATATCTTTTGTTCCATGCCCTAACCCTGCTTGAAGATACTAGAGCAGGCTCCAGGGAAAGGCAGCAGGATACTCCATTTTTGGCTCCGTTTCTTTTCCTCCTGTTATTGGCATGAGACTGCTGTGCATACAAGTTCAGTGGGATACATTTCATCATATTCTGCTGCTCCTAATGGGACTGTCTTTTGCATTTCTTCTCTGTTTATCTTTTCCCCAGGAAGTTCAGCGGAAAATATGCATCTCGTGATGAAGGTCCGTCAGCTGGACTGGACCGTTTTCAAGCACAGCATCAGCACAGCATAAAAGCCAGAGGGTTGTTATTATGGCCAGGTTAGCAAATATTGGGACTTTTTTTTTCTTCTTTAAATATAAATCCTCCTCCCTCTGAAAAAGTAACCAGCGCTAAGCCCCGCAGCTGGCTGCTAGCGGGCACCAGCGAGCTGCTTACGGAAGAGGAGGGGGCTGCTCTCCTGCACCCCTCAGGAGGGCACGGCACTCCCGTCCCGTGAGGATGGGGCTGGCTGAGGACACAGCGGGAGAGGAGGGAGGGCCTCGAGGTTTGGGGTGCAGGCTCCCCGGCCTGCCCGCCCCCCGGTCCCGGGGAGCCTCCGCAAGGCGCTCGCAGGAGCCCACGCCTGGGGCCTGCGCTGTGCTGACAGCCGTCCCCGTCCTGCCGCGCACGGCGAGCTCAGCTCTCTCGTGAGCAGAAAAGTGCATCTTTGCCTTCTGGAGTGATGCGCTGGAGTTTTATCCAGTGCTCCAAGGAGCGCTTGCTTTCTTTAGATGTAGCTGTAAATATGGGCTTCAGCAATTAAAATAATCCAGCCTCCCTTTTTTAAGCAAGCTCTTGACTCTCTGGTCTCCTCCACCCCGCTGGCTGCTCGAGGTGGTGGTGGCGATGCTTTACTGGCACGGCTGCCCTCCTCCCGCCGCGGGAGC